GGACATTGTCCATTGTTTATTTTGTTTTATTTGGAAATGTTGCGGGCAGCGGCCGGGCATTGTCCATTGTTTATTTTGTTTTATTTGGAAATGTTGCGGGCAGCGGCCGGACATTGTCCATTGTTTATTTTGTTTTATTTGGAAATGTTGCGGGCAGCGGCCGGACATTGTCCATTGTGTATTTTGTTTTATTTGGAAATGTTGCGGGCAGCGGCCGGACATTGTCCATTGTTTATTTTGTTTTATTTGGAAATGTTGCGGGCAGCGGCCGGACATTGTCCATTGTTTATTTTGTTTTATTTGGAAATGTTGCGGGCAGCGGCCGGACATTGTCCATTATTTATTTTGGTTTATTTTGGAAATGTTGCGGGCAGCGGCCGGACATTGTCCATTGTTTATTTTGTTTTATTTGGAAATGTTGCGGGCAGCGGCCGAACATTGTCCATTGTTTGTAACTATTAATGAAGAAGAGAGGTATCTCTCGTACGTATGCTTTTTCTTACCAAGGGTTATTCTATTTACAGAATCCTCCATATATGGTATGGGTATGGAGTATGACATATCAATGAAAAACTTCGAGAGGTGGCATCGTATATATGTGGATTTTATATTTGGATCGTATAACCTTCGCATTAACCACTGTTTGTATGCTTATAATGTTAATAGGTATATATTAAATATTATTATTGTATAAGTGTATTGACTTATCAATTACCTGAACAACAATCATTTGAATTTGAGTTGAGCCGAGCACGTCTCAAATGCAGAATGGCCAAATGTTAGCGTCTACCCTATAGAATTGATTAAATTCGCTTAAAGCGCGTGACCTTGGCTGACAGTAGCCTAGACCAACAGTAGCCAGAACTGAATATCCGCGCAGGTCCAAGCATGAATGCTGTCTTGAGGCGTCAAGACTTCACTTCGTCGCGCGCCCTGCTTGATAATGTATATCTATTTTTTAATTAATTAGTTTATTAATAATGTATATCTATAAAGAGACCACCCTGTCTCTAATAATCTTTTTTTGCGAAAAAAAAACTCATAGACGTGTTCCTAGAGTCGAAATATATCACCCTTAAAAGTATTTTCACTTATTTAAGACTCACTCTGTATAAGCGTTTTCAGGAAACGCTGACGCGTTATCAATTGAAATATAATACCTGTAAGTCTATAAAAAAATTACGGTGCAGATATCGACTCAGAGGAAGACTCGTTTGTGAGAGCGGGGATCTGCAGTACGATGAGTCAGATACAAATAGTGAGACAAAATAGTAAATGTATGATATCTGTTTTGAAATATTAAAAAAATATATTTATAATATAATCGTATATCGTATACATGATTTATCTATACTTAAATGGATGAGGCGGCGAGCGTTCCCTGAAAGCGCTAGAGTAATATCGCGCTTTTGATAACTGTCTGCAGCTGATTTAGCAACGATATTTTTGCCTGCCCTGTTGCATACGGCTTTTAAAATAAATAAATATGACATTCCACCAAGCGGCATGCATGTATGCCATTTTTTTTCAGTTCTTCTAAAAGCTATTTTCGCAATGGGCTCTTTCACAAAAAATAAAATACCCAATTCAAGGACAAAATCTGAAATACAAGACTATTTTCAGTATATTTATCCAAAAAAAAATAGTTCCATGACATTCTTTTATAGGCCCTATTTTTTTATACAATGACATAATTTTTTTATAGGTCCTCAAAATTGCTTTAATTAGAAATAATTTTAAAGTGCCAATTGATGACGTATGAAAAATACGCCCAATCACATTGCAGAACCGTGCTCGTGCGCCAGCCAACAACTGGAAACATTGCGATTTGATTTGACCAGCACCACCTCAACTCAAGGCCAATCAGCATAATATGGGCAAGGTAAATATGGCGGCGAAGGCAGCGCATTATTAAATTGTTTACCTTTAACCTGAAAAGCCGGTAGTGGTTTCTCGTTCCGATTGCATACCAGAAATAATTAATTATCTCTAGTTTGTTGTGCTTCTGCAACACGTTTATTTAGTTCTTAGTGTTCAGTGCATGGTGTGGTCAGAAAATTGTGATAAAATAACAGTGTAATAAAAATCCAAACCAGACATTCCAAATAGGGAACTTCAAATTTTTGGGCTTTTCGTACTCCTCTATTATTAATTATTTTAAGGTAAGAACTAGAAGTATTTATCAAGATATTACACCTAAATGAGTAAAAAGCCTTCGCCGCCAGTCTGCATAGTACTTTATAATGGTTACTTACAATAATCAAAAGATAGGTATTAAAGGGTAGGTATTAACATTTTATTTTAGCATGCCTTTTACATGCTCTGTTCCAAATTGTCACGGGAATTATAGAGGGGGTCCCAAGGTTTCTGATTTTATATTCCCCAAAAATGACGAGCTTCCTAAAAAATGGTTGACTATTACTATTACTGAACTATTAAAAGAGACAATTTTACTCCTACGAGTAGTTCTCGGGTAAGAAGTGCATTAAATATGGCAAAAAGGCAAAAGGCCCCCCAAAGCCTCTGTTACCCTAGTGGGGATGTAGTTATGGCTACTGCTTACACTTACCTCACTAAAATGTACAAAAAAATGTAAAATCACAAAGTAAAATATTGGAAGAAAATCAAGCTTTTTACATCAAAAAGATCACAGAAAGATATTGACAACATTGAAAATATAAATGGCCTGAATGTAAGTCTTTTTTAGGTCACAATTGCCCCTCACATACGTCACAATTTATTATTAAATCCATCTTGTTCAGAATATCCAATATTTTAGTTTGTTTTAATTAATTTTTTAGTGAAATATTACGTAATCTAACCCGACATTTGTGTGAAAAATGTCTATTTGGAAATAAAACAGGTTTTATAATACGCGTCAAATAAAGCACTTCTATCTCCGCCATATTCGGCCCGGACGCGGCCCTGTTGCATATACGTATTACTTTTTACAAATATACTCAGCCTAATCTCCAAAAAGTGAAGCCCAAACAGTGAAAGAACAATATGGAATTCTGCATAAGTCTATTTCACCCGGATATTCATTTAACTGAGCATGCCTCACCTGAAGAAATTTTCATTGGTCGATGTTTTTAAAGAGAAGTGGTTGACTGACATTTCCCCTAACCTTCAATTTTATTTATATTTTTATTATTTATAACACATTATCATGGAGTTGGAAAAATATCAAAAAATTGTTGGAAACAATAAACTAAACAAAATCACTCTTTTACGCGCACAAATAAAAAGTAATCCAAACAGAACTAAAACAACAATCAATCGTAGTTTGGCGCAATCGCAGTTCAATCCATATCCGGGTGAAATAGACTTATGCAGTTTTAATATGGAGCTGGGTTATGTTGTCTTTTTCTTACGGCACAGAAATTGCACACGGGGTTAAATAGGGAACCCTGAGTATATTTGTAAAAAGTAATACGTATATGCCCTGTTGCCGCTTTTCAACATGCCAGGTGTGACGTATTAAAAATAAAGTGCGGATTTTTATTCTGGGCTTTTTTGTTTTTATTTATTTTCTTAAGAACGACTTCAAATTTTTCGAAAGTGAGATAGCAGAAAATTCTATAATTAACTTCTTTATTCAATTATGCTAATTCCAAAATATAGTGAAGGAGCCCATTATAACTCGTTTACCTTATAATATTTTATATTATAAGGTAAACGGGATCGCGCTAGCAGACATGACTATTTCATAATGGCTACACAAAAGGATACTTCACACAAAATATTAGCCATGTAACGATGATAAGGTTTTTTATGTAGCCAGCTCTTAGATTATTAATAGGCTGTGTTAAAAACACTAATTTTTAACCAAGGAGTAAGGAGCCTTGGAAAAATAGATTTGATCATCTAATGTTTTTCGTGTGTTGTCCTGGTCGGTTAAATGATGCCCAAATCATATTTTTAATATCTCAATTTTTTCAAATAGAACAAGGTAAGCATATTTGGAAAAAAACATTTTTTTACGAAAAATTTGGTACCGTACACACGGTATTTCGAGTCTAATTGTCGTTATGAACCGCATTTTACACTTGCAAATAAACCATATTTATGCGAAAATGTCAAAAATTTCTATACAGAGGCGCATTTTCTATCCAATAAAATAGAAATATATCAAGAGTGCCATTTAAGAATCAAAAGTTGTAGTAATTTCCATCGAGAAGTGACCAAAAACGATTGAATACATCAATAATTAATCCTAACTTATGTCATATACTAACATACCAAATCATTTTTTTTGTTTGAAAAATTTAAAAAGTTATAAGGGGTGAGCCACTTTTGAGACGTACCCGGTATATTCTTGTTTTATATTTATTTTTTTAATGAGTTACTTAAACAAAAACAATATTTGTTGGACATAATTAATTATTTACCTAATTATATATTTACTACTTCGTTACTGTTAATAATTTACTTATAGAAACTTAACTTTTCTATAATTAAGGCGTTACGTGACAGGAGTTCCAGTAAAAAAGTAATTTTCAGTTATTTTTTATTATAAATAAAAAATAACTGAAAGAACCTTGTATATTACTTTTTTTTTGTATTTCCGTATTTTTTTCTATTTTAATATAAGAGGTGAGTAATCCTTTTTTTCGTTTTTAATAAGAAATAACTCAGACGTTTTATTTACAATAAAAAGCCCAATAACCGTAATTAATTCAAAATACAAGCCTCATATTTTTTATGGGCTTCTAACACGAAATGAATTAGTAAAGAACTAGCTGGTCTTTTAGCTGTTATTAGTATATTACAGAATATTTATTTTATAAAAAAAAATCTAAATATATTAATTTTCGATTTTATATTTTTTATGGATTTTGAAAGTTGATGGATTTTGAAAAACCGTAAAATTAAATAAAAAAATATTGAAATTTTATATTAAAAAATATATTATTTAAGGTATTTTTTTTAATTTTTCTTAATAGTTCTAAATCATTAATCACTTAATTTATACATCATCAATCACATTTTTAAAATACCTGTCTCATCAGGATCTTCATCCTCGCTAATCAGCGTCTGACAATGACAGCAGCACCATATAAAAACCGAAATCAACACCACTTTCAAAAAATAAACCATGTCTCAAACAGCAAGAATACCGAAAAACCGGCCACCAAAAAATGTTCTATCAGCGCGAAACAATCCTCCAAAAATCCACACGCACCAAAACTTTCGTCTCCTGCGACCGACTAGAGCTTCGACGTCGTCCGTAACGATGATGCGTCGCGACGGCGGGCGTCAGGTCCTCCCTCACAGCCGGTACAGCGTATACTGGCCCATTCAGCAGGCCAAGGGTAGAAACCACCCCCTGCAGCACGAGCCGCAGCGGAACCCGCCGAAGGTTCACGAACCACCACTTCGTCACACACCTGAAATCTTGGGCAATCACCGAATTCGGCAGGAGTTGCTGCTGGAAAAGTGGAACGTCGACCTCCTGATGGGGTGGTAGTAGGGGGTGATGGAAAACACGAGGGTGGTGATGGAGCGAGGTGGGGGAGGTAGAGGATAACAAGACATGGTAAAGAGGCGAGTTGAAAGATGAATTTGTTCGATGGTGTTATCTTGTTACCTTCACAATTTGTTAAAGTGTATACAAGAGCAATATGCATTTTTCAATATTCCGGTAAATATGTTAAATCAGTGTTTAATTTTTGTCGTGATAGATACATCCATGTTATCGGATGATACCTTGCATCCACTAGTAGTAAAGGCGCGTTTACACGAGATGAGTGAATTGATCAAGTAACTTGAATTCAACATACTTGAAAGCATATTCCGAATTTACACATTTCTTGTGTACTTTCAAGACTAAAATTAGCCAAATCTGTCCAGCCGTTCTCGAGTTTTAGCGAGACTAACAAACGTCATTTTATTTTTATACGGGGTGGTTCGAACTGTATTCCGGAAACTTCGGCAGCATATTCTGCAGATAAATATAAGTAAAAAGCGAGGTAAAAAGATTTGTATAAATGTATGCCCTAGAATGCTTAGTTTCGGAAGTACAGGGTGTAGAAGTTTCATTTTTATTTAGATTTTTTCCAAATAATTTTTGAATTAACGTCAATATTTTTTTTATATGATTCCTATTTGTAGGGGGCGCCACCTACATGTGTTTAAATTGTTTGAAGAGTAATAACTTTTCGTCCGTACCTGTATAAAAAAACTAGTGAGTAAAAATATACATTTCCGTGAATTTTTACGTAAAAAATATATCTTGGTAAAAATCGCTACGAGCAACCGTTCTGAAGATATTTAGAATGGAAATTGTCAATACATGTCATTATTGACCAAAAAAAAACACATTGTGTAGGTAGATAGTTATTTGACTGAAATAATAAATTTGGGAAATGTTTATTTTTTTTAAATTAATTATAAATTTTTCTTCGAAAAAATGACGATAAAACAGTTTCTGTTGAACTTTTGTCACCGAAAACATTTCAAATTTATGATTTCAGTCTAATAACCATTTAGGTAACATGTTTAATTTATGTCAGTGATGACAGGTATTGATGATTTCCGTTGCCAATATCTCGAAAACCATTTCTCGTAGCGATTTTTACCAAGAGACAAAAGACCTTTTGTACGTAAGGTACAGACGAAAAGTTATTACTCTTCAAAACGATTAAAAGACATGTAGGTGACGCCCCCTAGAAATAGGAGTCATAATGACATCAAAATAAAATTTCTCATGTCAAAAAACTCCCAGACACCAATTTTCATCGAAATATTGACGTTACTTCAGAAATTATTTGGAAAAAAATCGAAATAAAAATTAAACTTCTACATCCTGTATCTCCGAAAGTAAGCATGTTAGGACATACATTTATACGAACTTTTTTACTTATTTTTATCTGCAGAATATGCTGCCCAAGTTTCCGGAATACAATTCGGACCACCCTGTATATACAGGGTGAGTTTCCTACGATGTTCTCTATGGGTATCTCGGAAACTGCTGGAGATAGAGAGTCGGTTAAATGGGGAAAGAATTGCAGTTTTGTGGGGTCATAAACATGCACCTTTCAGATTTTTGAAAAAGTTCATGGCTTACTAGATATTTCGAAAAAAACAAATTTTGGCTATTTTAAAAATCGTCTCTAATTCCGTTATAATCTATTTTCGAGAAAAAGTTTTCAGATCAAAGTTGTAGATAAGCATATCCTTAATGAGATTGTGTCCTCCGTTTTTTTTCTAAAGCCTGTCATTTTTGACATATGACACAAACATATGTTTTTTTAAATGGAAACCATAGTTGGCCATGACTTCATTAAAAGCGCCATTTTTTAAGCTTTTCAGCGATATAAGCTATAATATGTTTATTTTCGAAAAATTACTGAGTTATAGCCAATTCTTATCTTTCTTGGCTAATTTCACTTAGTTGGTATGGTATTTTATTCTGTTATGATTTATAACCTATAAAAAGACAGAATATTTTATTAAACGGTTCTTTACAATTTACCTTACACAAAATAAAACTTATATCACTACATACCTACAATTTAAGTTAAGTTATTAGCAAATTCAAATGTTTAATTAGCAAATGTTCAAAAACCGCCATCGTTTTGAGTGCATAAAATGCATGTTTAAAACTGAATTACAAGCTTTTCCCACAGAACGGCCGGTCGAGTTTAATAAACTTCTCTTCTCCTAATTCATGCTTGCATGATGCCTCTCTTAATTGGTAAGTTCTTTTTTAAACCTTGTTGTTAACCATACAGCATAAAAAAATCTAAAATGGATTGGTCAGGTGATCGAGGAGGCCTATGCAATTAGTCCACCTCTTTCTATCCCTGAGTTTGCATAATTATAATATAAATAATTTTTAACTTTTCTTTCATTATGAGGGGGAGTGTCATAATGAAAGCAATGTTGGAACCACTCTATTGATGCGCGAGTATCTAAACGTAAGTAACGTTCACCGGTCAACGTATCCTCGAAAATGTATGACCAAGAAAAGTTGAACCAATAATCCTACACGCTTTTTTTCATTTGAAAAATTCATATTTACAATTTTTGTTTATTTTAATTTACAAAGTTTGGATGTGACAGTTTCACATTACTGAGAGCAACGACAATTGAACTTGTCCCCATGGCTAACTAAGTGAAATTGAGTAAGAATGATAAGAATTGGCTATATAACTCAGTAATTTTTCGAAAGAAGCATATTATAGCTTATATCACTGAAAAGCTTAAAAAATGGCGCTTTTTATGAAGTCATGGCCAACTATGGTTTCCATTTAAAAAAACATTTGTTTGTGTCATATGTCAAAAATGACAGGCTTTAGAAAAAAAACGGAGGACACAATCTCATGGATGTGATTATCTACAACTTTTATTTGAAAACTTTTTGTCTAAAATAGATTATAATGGAATTGGGGACAATTTTGAAATAGCCAAAATTTGTTTTTTTCGACATATCTAGTAAGCCATGAACTTTTTCTTCACAAATCTGAACGGCGCATGTTTATGACGACACAAAACTGCAATTCTTTCCCCATTTAACCGACACTCCATCTCTAGTAGTTTCCGAGATACCCATAGAGAACATCGTAGGAAACTCACCCTGTAGATTAAAACATATTTATATTTATGTTACTGTAAATGTCCGAAATGCGGTAAAACCTAGGATACGCACGGTAAAACCTAGGATAAGCGTGCTAAACCTAGGATTTACCAATGCTAACACCCCCCAAATAACCACGCTAACCAACTCGAAATGCGGTAAAACCTAGGTTTCAGTGGCGGATACAGAGGGGGGGCATGGGTCCCGGCCCCCCCGTAAAATATATGAATTTGGTTAAAAATTAGGCTTTTGGGTTTAAAATGGTTCCCTAAATAGCATATTCTACATTACTTTTTATTTGCCCCACCCCCTACTAAAATAAATTCCTGTATCCGCCCCTGCTAGGTTTTACCGCATTTCGGACATTTACAGTGACCATTTATACATCCTATTTATTATATCATCAGCTTTGCTACGTTGAAAAACAAACTTAACGAGGAAACGATAAAAATATGTAAGAGAATATTAAGTTATCCATTAAAACTATCAAAAAGCTATTAGCTGCATGAATCCGATAACTCGGAGAGTGCAATTGCGAGCTATCGGTTTTTAGTAACTCCCACCCACCCCATAGCTTCCCTTAGTTCTTTTGGTATTAATAAACTTTTGCTATCAGACCGAGAACTCCGCCTAGTGAATCTATAAACTTTATTTTGTCTTGAGTAGATAAGTTTGGCAAATTATTTAAAAAAGTTAATAGCTGTATCGCATATTATTCCTTGCGATATAAGATTAGAAACTTATATGTGGTTAAAGAGATAAATTCTACAGGTTGTTAATTTGTTTATTACTCGTGGCAAGAGCTTTATTGTTGAAATATGAAAACCTCGGCCCGCTCATCGCGTCGATAGACGACGCGACGGGACGAGTCGGCAGAAAACCCTATAAGTGCATGCGCTCTCAATAGACAGTGTTGCCATTCTGTTTCCCCATAAGTAACTGTCCAGTTAACAACCTGTATAATAAAACACAATTAATGATAAATTAAAGATCGTGACAAAAGTTTTTAAATATGTATGTCACCATAGATGGCAGATAAAATATATCGGATGTCCTTCAAAAGTTTGCCAAAATTTCTCCAAAACACACCTTGCATCCACTGGGTCAGTAAAGGTGCGTTTATATGAATTTTGAATTGAATTGATCAAGTAACTTGAATTCAACAGACTTGAAAGCATATTTCGAATTTACACATTTCATGTCAAAAAGCTTCTGTAAGTTGATTCAAAATGGCGACAGTACATAAAGCTGAACTTCAAACTTCCAAAATTATGGCAATAGAATTAACAGAAAGTTTATTACGTAAAAAAACAAGACGTAAAAGAAGAATGTAGATCAAAAAATGGATTAGCCGCAGAACTACTTATGGTTCATCTAATAACTTAATATCTAAGCTATAGTATAAAGATCCTAGAGAGATTATAAAAAAATAAGGGTAAAAAAAGTAATGTTATAAAATAAGCGTAATGCGTTATGTTAAAAGTGAAGTGTGAATTGTGTTGAAATAATGCTTTATTTTATTTTTGTAGAAAATGCTCGAGAAAATGCTATCATTATACGCTCTTTACACTATGGGGAAAATACTTCGAAGCAGGTTAAGATCGTGTTTCCTTGCCTAAATTTGTCTCGTCTCGGCTTATTTCCGTTTGTCTTGACCTACTTTCATTTCTTAAAACATATTCT